TTTTATGATAGCAGATTCGTTACTTTGAAGAAACGAACAGATATAATTATATTTGGGATTCGATGATTCAATGACAGCTTCATGAATCACTTTTCCTGGGTAAACAATTAGCATGAGGCGTATAAAATTTTTGGTTCCTGGTTGAGGCAAGTCAACAGCTGCTATTCGTGTAAACAGTTTATTTGTAAGTGTGGGAAATTGAATCAATAAAAGAACTTGTCTGTCTAGTATATCGACTAGCATTTAGTCAATGGGGATGCACAGTTTTCTTGAGGGCATTCTGAAATAGAAAACTGTTGTTTAGATTGGTGTTATAGTGTTGTTGTTGGTGGTTGGATTGTTGTGCTAGAGATCGTTCCTATTACACTGTTCCGTACTAAATGTTCATTTTGGTTATTTAAGTCTGGGTATAAACCAGGTTCGTTTCGCGAATCTGGTGACATTAAGGGTACTGCAGGCTCATTTCGCTCTACCATAGGTATTGAAGCAGTGCTTTCTTGGTAAATATTTTGATTTTGATGTTGTTGTCGTATTTGTTTTTGTCTTGAGTTTCGCAAATCTGATGATTCAAGATTGGAGTTTTCGTTTGAGAAAATAGAAGTAAAAACTGATAGAACGAAAAGGTTATACGTGGCACCTAATATTATCTTCCAGAAGCTCATAGTACGATTTGTTAGCTTATTAATTTCCAAAGCTTTAATAATTGTTACTATTATTTCTAGCAGGAATTTGAGAAAAAGAAAACAGGCAAAATAAATTCCGATTTTTTCTAGGAAAAAAGCAACAAAACCGAATGTTCCGATGAAACTACTCATGAAAAATCCTGGTGAGAGCAGAGAATCTAGATAAATTTTTTGGTTTAAACCAATTGCAGCGGTTAAAGCGTCGGAATTTGCATAATCCATGTGTCCATTTTGGAGAACAGTTCTTGTAATTTTTTTGAGAATGGATGTTGATGCTGTGTTATGAATAATGGTATCCCAAAAAGCTTTTAATTGTTTTGGGGTATACATGCCTGCGCGTCGCGAATCGTATACGGGAAATTCCGTAATATGGCTTATATCTTGTGGAGCGAACATTAAAGGAGTCTTGAAAGGTATTGGAGCCGGCATTAATTGGTACCAAGATAATTTATCATCTAAATCAAGTTGAAAGGCATTTTTGTAGCCACCAACGCAATGTATTTCGTTGGCAAAAGGAAAAGTTTGGCGGGTAATAGGGTCGACAAACATTGTTCGCCCATTGTAAAAGATCGGTATTCGATCAAAGCATTTTTCGAGAACTTTAAGAGGTGAAATTTTTTTAGGGCAGTGATACAGCCAGCCAACTGCTCCATCGGTGTCCAAAAACATAGAGCGGTTGCCGGTTAACATGTATCCTGCAAGACTGGTATTTTGTAAAGCTAACATCATTATTGTTAGAATTTGTGTTCTTTCGAGTTCACATTGATTCTGTAATAAAGTCATTTCAGAATGCCTGAGTTGTTTAGCATTAAAGTACATTATGTAATCTAACTTTGCGCCCAGATGAAGTTCGTAATCAATTTCATCGGTACCTACATGGCGCCAAAGAGGATCCCGATTTTTATTGTTACGTTCATCATGGAGGAATGAAAAATTACCTGATCCCAGAGGATAGTTCAAAGGTTTCACTCTTATTTGATCGTTCTCATTTATTTGCATTTGATAGTAATTTCTATCATCGTGTCGTATGTTGCTGGATTTACCAGTGTTCATATCAAAACCGCCTGAATAAGAAATAAACAAGGACTCAAAATTTGTTTTATATAATGCTCCTGGCCTGCTGCAGACTTCTTGCTGCTTGTTGTAAATGCGAATTTTGAGGTCTAAGCCATTGGGTGCCGATCCCTCACTCAGTATATGATATTGAGGGTGGTCCAACTTATTAGCGTACTTGACCATTTTCGCTTTTTGAGAAAACAATTTTGTGACTACGCAATTTTCGGGCATGTCCCAAGTGTAAGCATAAGGGTCTAATGATGTTGATTCGCATCCGCCTTCGAGTACTGTGCATGGTAATGGGATACCGTAAGGATTTTGTACTTGTTTTGTTTCTAGATTTACTTTGAGTTGAACTTTTTGCATGTGCGTTTCGTAGCTATAGTGTTTGATTTGTCCCCTATTCTTGCATGCTGTCGAACTGTCGCCCTCTTATGATGTTCCTTCATTTCTGTGTTGTAAAATACTTTCATCCATTTTTATAATTAGTTCATGGGTGTATCCATCTTCATTCACTGTAATTTTGTTGTTCTTTGCTGCTTTTTTGCAATCTTTTGGTGGTATAATAATTTCATAGGTTATCATGTTCATATTGTGAACGATGGAAGAATGTGCCCACATTCCGCAATTATAACGAATGGGAAATGTTTTAATTTTACACATAACTGCGTTCACGTATGTTCTATAAGACCGTTGATATACGCTAATTGTGCTATCGGTAGTGTAAAGGTTTTCTGGGCTAACTTTACATGGGGCCACTTGATTTAAAGCATACATTTTATTTTCCTGCATGCTTGAACAATCATAGTGAGTAACTTTGAGAGAATTCGATACGTTTTCCAAATCATCATTCTGTAGAATGACAAGAGGTATAAATGTTGAAAGTAGAGTAGCAAATTTCATCATTATCGCGAAGTTGCTAAAAATTAGCAATAGTAAATTTGTTTGGTTGGTTTTTATTGAAAGAAACCATTGTTTTTTTAAAAAATTGACTAGTTTGATTGACCATTACGTGTGGGGTCATAGTTTGAATAATTTTTTGTATCCAAATTTGTGACCCGGAGATTACAAAATGAGTTTTTAGCTAGTGAAGACTATTAGAGATTCCTTAGTTGAATCCTGCTTGGTAGAAGCTGGGTTGTCGCCGATGTCTCTGAATTCTTTCATTTGTCGAGCCCGTTTGAACAGATGTCTGTCCGTTTTGGGGGTGGTGTGTTGATGTAGATGGTATATATGACAATTCATCGAAATTATTACCATTCCTATCGTTTGGATAAAGAGGTGTTGAGGTTAACCTTCTCTGAGCTAATCCTGGTGTATGTGGCATTTTTATAGTTTCTGTGTTGTGCTCTTGAAATCCTGAGTCGATATTCGTTAAGGTTTTTTCTTGCTCAGTTTCATGTAGTTCTATATTATTTTCTCGTCTATGGTGTGTTTCGACAGGTAAATATTCTGATGAACCCATTGGGTTTTGAAATGATTTGTTGGTTAGTGGTGTATTGACAATTTTATTCCTTGATTTCATTAGGTTTTCATAGAATGGTTTGTAGGACTGGTCTTTTAAAACATAGTCATTCACCAGTTCCTTTGCTTTTTCTTCAATGGGAAAGTATTCAATTAGATGGTTTCTATGAGCTGTCTTTTTTATAGTTTGATCTGAATCTAATTGTATTTCATAGTTTACATTCGTTACTTTATTTGTTACCGTATATGGGCCTGATCGTAGTTCTTGTAATTTTTTTGATTTGCCATCTTCTATGGAATGGTTTTCCATCAGTACTTTTTGACCTATTTCTAAGGGTTTTCCTAATTTATATTTATTTCGATATTTGTGGATTTTGGCGTTGTTTTCAAGACTTTTCTTGTAAGCTGTATTATAGATGTATTTAAATTGGTTCTCTCTGATAAGTAGTGAAGTGTTAATTTTTGGTTTTAATAATGGTTGTATAGCCTTATTTGATGATGTTTGTAAAGAATGTCTGTGTAATGGAAGATTAGCACAGAATTCAGAGTTGCACGTTAATTCTGAATTTCGGAATAATCCTAGTTTTAAAGAGATTGGTATTTGAGGTTTTTGTCCGAAAACAATTTCGTATGGCGTTAATCCAGTACTTGCGTTGATAGTGGTGTTATGAGCGAAAGCGAATTTCGCAGCTAGATCACTCCAATTTCCCTTTGCTTGATCAAAGAAAATTCTAAAATGTGTTCCTAGATGTTTGTTTTGTATTTCCACTTTACCATTTGTCCATGGTGAATATGCGGTTCTGGGAGCATGTGTTATTCCTAGTTCATGAAGCCAACTAGTAAAATCTTCGTTCATGAAAGCTGTTCCTTTATCATAAACTAGTTTTTGTGGAATACCAAATGTGAGAATAAATTTTTCTAAAGTTTTTATTGTTTCAAATGCGGTAGTGTTAGCTACTGGATATACTTGTAGGAATCGAGAAAATGAATCTACTACAACTAAACAATGTTTCTTTCCGTTTGATGTAAGATTAATTGGTCCCTTATGATCTATGTGTACAGTATGAAACGGGAAAGGTACTGTATCCGTCCATTGTTCTAACGGTGCTTGGTTAAGATCGTGACGTTTGTGTTTATTTTTTTGACAGTCAAGACATCCTGCTATTAACTGGGTTATCCATTTATACATGCCTGGCCAAAAGAAAAATCGTTTTATATTCGCAATGGTTTTGTCTTTTCCTACATGACCTGCTAACTGATCTGTATGTGCCAATTCAAATGTTTTTATAAAAAGTGACATAGGTACACAAATTTTAATTTCTTTTACTTCGGGATTATCTGATGCTTGTTCAATGCAAAGAATATTTCCTATTAATAGTAAAGTTTCAAATTTATTTAGATATGAACATAAAGCTCTTGATTGTCTATAGTGTATATTTTTTGAGTCTTTGTTTTTGTTTCTTACTAATTCTTTTACGATTTTTATGACTGCGTCGGTGTCTTGTTCTTTGGCAATAAGTTCTGTGTTTAAATCTATATTTTTTCCTAGGTTGTTGAAACTAGTAAATATCTGAGTAAGGTTATCCTTGTTTGTAAGTGTTTCGTTAGGCAGTTTGGGTTCAAAATGAGAATTTATATGTATATATACTTTTTTTTAAAAAAACAAGAATTTGGGCAAATTTTTATCAGTTTGGACAGTAACCCTAACAAGTGAGCGTTCCCCCACCCCTAAAGGCGAAGAGATAGTTCCCTCAGTCAATACAATTTTATTATCAATAGAATTCAGTATGAACGAACGTTCTAATTTGAGGTAGTAATGAGCCAACAGTGCTTCCAACTTCTGCAGTTCACGTGACATCAAGTCATAGCTCTTCGGTTTTTCCGATTCCTCTTGAGCATTTTCCGACTCATCATGCGGCCAAAAGGGTTTCTTGTCACACTTTCCACATGACTGGCGACATTTGCGATAGAACCCACTGGCTTTGTTGGCACATGCAAACTTAGCCCAGAAAGCGTGACAGACGAAAGAGGGGTAGAGATCGGTACAATCATCGGATGCTTGGGCTGAAAACATTGTAGCCTGATTACAACAGGCACTATTCATGATAAATTAAAACTTGTTAGCGACGTTACCTAGCCCAGAAAAACGACATTACAACCAAACAGATAGCAACCTTTAATTTCAGTGAAACTTCAGGCTTCGAGAAAACAATCCAAAACAATTCAAAAAAAAGTTATGTTGGATTTTTCTGACAAACAATTTTTTCGGCTCATTTTCCTGACCATGTTTTCTAGTTGAGTGAGATTTTTTATGTTGGGTCTGACACCACATAAAACACTACTTATGAAACAAATTCCTTAACCTCGTAGTTTGGAACCTCATTAGCACATGGCTGGAAAAAAATTTGAAGTGAAATCGAAAGTAAAACCACGAAAAATCAGTTGTAAGCGTGAACAAATTTTAAGACTTTTACCTAAAAAAGGTACATGACCTTATTATATGTCTTCACTTCGATCATTGACACCTAAAGGTAAGTCGCTTACTAGTGGTGACTAAATCGGAGGGACAGAATCCACAGCTCTTCTTGCACTTCACAGGGAAGTCACTGGTGTTGTCAGCACAAGCAAACTTGGCCCAGAAGGCCTTGCAGAGAAACGGCGGCAAAATATCCTCACACTCTTCGGGAGTTGCTAAAAGCAAGAGAAGTTGAACTATTTGGTCAGTTAATAGAAACTCCAAACTGAAGTTCAAAAATAAACAGAGACTAGGCTGCACTTCGCAAACACAAGCGAGAAAACTCCTTAAGGTAGCTCTAGCAAGCACAAGCAAGGTCAAATAAGAAGAAAAAAGAAAAGATGAACCTAGAAAGTTTTTTTTGCTATGTACTTTGAAAGTTAATTTTCAAAGGCCAGTAATTTTAATGAATTGCAAGTTCCAAAAAAAATTGTGCACTTCGGCAGCGAACAAGATTGTACCCCTTTGACTTCTGTACCGTCTAATAAACTTTATCTACACGCTTTGCAAACTTCATCTACAAACTTCGCTCATGAAAGACGAAGACAGACAATTAAGAGTTAAAAATCATGCCAAAATGCATCAAAACTTCGAAACATGTTTGTTCGCAAACGCCCCAAACAAAATAATCCGTTTGAAAAAGAGAAGACAAACCGATCAAATTGTAGAAAAACAGGACTTTTCTCAAGTCTAGGGCGGCTTGCCTACCAAACGAAAGACACAAAACTTATGCACCGAAGACTCCCAGAACATATTTTTTTTATAAAACCCTAATCCCAGATTTGCGAGGAAACTATGAAGAAAAGGTTAATCGTTTCAAAAAAACGGTCAAAAAGTCATAATTGGCTTTTTTGAATTCATATTTTTGTTTTAAAAATTACAGGACATAGCTGCTCATCCAAAACACTTCCATAAACTGTTCTTTCTACTGAAACCTTAGCCCAAAAATTGGGAGGTTAATTTTCGATAAAACGTCAAGACATTTGACAACTACAGTCAAAATGTCAAAAAAATCGCTAATTCCTAAGCTTTTTAATTCTCTTTGAAAACAAGTAAAGAGTAGCCAATTTCGCATCAAAAATTCCGCCAATTTGTAATTTCGACTGTAACCTTTATCTCAGAATTAGCAGGGTAATTACTGTGAAGAGCCAAAAAAAGTCTAACTAAAACAATCAAAAGGTCAAATATGGCTTTTCCAAAAGTCATAATTTTTTCAAAACTCAAAGCTTAGCCTTCTGCATAGGTAAGACTCCTACATTCTGTTTTTTTATGAAACCATTTATTTGAGACTTAAATTAAAACGTTTAACAAAAAATATTTCAAATAGCAAAAATGGTACTTTCCTATGGCCATAAATAACCTTTTACAAAACTAAAGGCGAAGCTGCTAATACAAGAAGAAATCCCATAAGCTTTCTTGTCGATTGAGATTGTAGGCAAGATTAGTTTTAGAGAAAAGTCAAAACATTTCCAAGAACGGTCAAAATTTGGACATGTTCCAAAGCCATACGTTTTTTCACAAAATTTAGGGCGTAGCTGCTTACATAAGCAAAATTTTCCCGAGCAATTTTTTCGAGTGAAATTTTTTCGATTTACGAAGGTAGTTAACAAGAACAGTCAATTGTTTAACAAAAAAAGCACAGAAAGCCAAAAAATGGCCTTTTCTCGGCCCATTTCTGAAATTTTCTAAAAAATATGGCGTAACGCCACACTTATACAGGGAAGGTTCTCATATACCGTTCTTTCGATTGGAATTGTATTATCACATTTGGCAGGGTTCTTTCGATTGGAATTGTATTATCACATTTGGCAGGGTTAGTTTTCGAGAAGAGTCGAATAACTTTTACTAACTATCAAAACATGGTATTTTTGAGGCCATTTTTAATACATAAATAAGAGCGTTAACGCTGGTGCAGAGGAAACCTTCATAAAAGATTCTCGACTGAAACTCAATATCAAACTTGACTGTGCAGTTTTGAGAAAAAGGAAAAAATACAGGGAACTTATACAGGGAAGGTTCCCATATACCGTTCTTTCGATTGGAATTGTATTATCACATTTGGCAGGGTTAGTTTTCGAGAAGAGTCGAATAACTTTTACTAACTATCAAAACATGGTATTTTTGAGGCCATTTTTAATACATAAATAAGAGCGTTAACGCTGGTGCAGAGGAAACCTTCATAAAATATTCTCGACTGAAACTCAATATCAAACTTGACTGTGTAGTTTTGAGAAAAAGGAAAAAATACAGGGAACTTATACAGGGAAGGTTCCCATATACCGTTCTTTCGATTGGAATTGTATTATCACATTTGGCAGGGTTAGTTTTCGAGAAGAGTCGAATAACTTTTACTAACTATCAAAATATGGTATTTTGAGGCCATTTTTAATACATAAATAAGAGCGTTAACGCTGGTGCAGAGGAAACCTTCATAAAATAATCTCGACTGAAACTCAATATCAAACTTGACTGAGTAGTTTTGAGAAAAAGGAAAAAAATCAAAAATGGGTAAAAAAATCCCTCACTGACATTTTCCGGAACACGTGAGATAAGGTAAAAAAAACCTAGCGGAGGCACTTCGCTACAGACTTACCCAGCTAGTCTGTCCAATGGTACCATTTTATTCAAAATCGGTAAATTAGTTTTTTTAAATAAATGTTCGCGAAAAAAGCAAAAACTTTCCAAAGAGTCTCAAAAAAGATAAAATAAAAACAACCAAGCACCATGCAATTTCAAAATACATGTTTTTATCAAACAGGAACTGACACTAGCCTCCAATAAAGCAGCAGCAGGTAATATTAATTTGCCTATGGATGGGTTTTTACCAAAAATGCCACCAAATGAGTACTTTTATTTGCATCGTAGTATTACACCACACTCCCCTTGAGCAAAATTTAAGAAGCCAGTCTCAAATCAGAGGGTGAGAATTAAGAGAAAAGGGATCATTCCTAGGGACGACAAATGATTTTGACTAGTTTTTGAACTTTTTCGCGTCCGAAAAATGTATGGTAGTTAAACTGAGTCAGTATTTTCAAAGGGATGATCATTGATTTGTAATAACCGGTCGACGTAGTGGTGGGAAAGGAAGTTTGAGTTGTCTGCTCTGTTTCCGTTGTCGTAGCTTCCTCAGTAGTTGATGATGCTGTTGTCGTGTCAGTCAGTGACGTTGACGATGTTCCTTCGGTTGTCGGGATGACAGTTGTTGGAATTAAAGTTGTAGCTGAAAAATCATTTTCTTAACCTTAAAACAACTCCGGGTATTTGGAGTTTTTTTTTTACAAACTTTTGCATCAGCTCTAATTTCTTTACAACGGCACGTATGAAGAACGAGTAGTACAACAGCATCTATCAAACTATAAATCCTTAATTTCAGTATGACAATTTTTTCAAAACTAACCGTATTGGGTGTAACCAAAAAAATCAGGGAGCAACAAAACGAGATGAGCACATAAAATTTTTGTAATTTTCTTTTAGTTAAGAGGTCTTATTATTCTGAATCTCAAATTTAGTAGTCAAAACGCAGAAAAAAATAAATACAAAATTCTATCACTTGTTTGTTGACTGGTCGTCGTCGTCGAGTTATCCACATCATTCAAATCATCATCTTTATATTGAACCTGGAGAAACTCCTCTTCCATAATAAGTTCAAGGTCAGTCATCTTTTCCAGTCCCTTCCTCGCACTTCCCTCGCAGAGTCCGCATTTGGAAGGACACTGGATCTGGACTCCTTGGTATGAACACATACTGTCTGGAATCCACTTACAAGAAGACACTCCGAGGTCCCGACAACCAGTTTCTAGTTCCGCTACTGAAAAAAAATATGGCGTGAAATCGCATGACCTTAGCAACAAGTTTTCAAAAAGGTGGCGCGTTTTGCAGCAAAAAATATCTTTGAAGTATTTCAAAACTGTTTATAAAATCATTTCATACAAATTTTAAAAAATTAAATGAATTCTTCAGTGGCGTATCCTAAGTTTTTAGCTAGACAGAGCAAGAAAAACTCGATAAATATATCTTACCATTAGATGTTTTTGGAGGCGGTTGGCACAAGCCACATGTCTGAGGACACTGTTTCTGGAAGTGGGGGTCATTTAGACACGCATACTGGGCAAACACAGTGAAACAGAGGGGGGAGGTGTCTGCACAATCATCTAAGACTGGAATGTCTTCAAATAGGAGGGAGGCATATACTGTGTCGCCATCTTTCTTGAGAGGTGATAAGGCTTCGGTAGCTGCAAAAACAAAATCAGACAGCCAAGTTCAGAACAAAATACTAAGAGACGAAATTTCGTAACATAGCACACCAAACTTAACTTCAAAAAAATCTTGTTTGGATATTGATGAAAGTACACTAAAAATTAAATTTTGATGTATTCATTTTTGATTAGATTGCCTTTGATAACCTTGTGATTTCACGAAAAAATTCAATATGATGGGAGATACGATTATTTCGCTTTCTTTCGATATAGTGATACTGGAACCTATTGTCGAGCCGAATATTTCTTTAATACAATTGTAAATAAACGCTGATCAAAAAATTATATATCGAAAAATAAATACAGAGGCGAAGCTTTGCCCCAATTGCGACATCAAAAACACCAAAGAAGAGTTTTGGAATACATACGCTCAGATAAACTGGAAAATTGTTCAAAAGTTGCAAAACCAAAAAATTGATTGAAAAAAACTGAAAACCTGAAAAGAACCGCATTTCAAAATTTTTATTATAAATAACAGATAAAAACAACGGCTATAATTAAGCAAATGGAAAAACTAGATTAAATTAGAAACGAAAGCTAGAAAATTCAAAGGACAAAAACAAAAAATATATTTTGGAAAAACTTGGAAAACCTCAAAAAGGAATTTATATTGAGCAAATTATACAAAGACATTTTTCTGATATAAAGTTTAAAAAAGGAAACTGTAATTAAACTAAAGGCGTCAAGCTTAGTAGAAACTTGATCCATAAAAAATAAAATCCAAGTTATATTTGATGAAGTTTACTTTCAAAAAATAACTTTGCGCTTAGTCATACATCAATAGCATTCGAGTAGGCAATGTAATTAACTTCAAAAAAACCTGGAAATAAGCCAAAAAACCTTAACCGAAATCTACAGTAAAAAAAATTAAAACGGATACATCATTCAAAAAGTTTTACCACGTATAGATTTGAAAAACTCTAAGGAATCCCTAATAATGATAATAAGCTGTATATATAGCCGTCTGAAGCGTAATAATTTGATTAAGTCACGTGCTGAAATCTGAGAACAACGTTATTTACTGAAAAAGTCTAATGCCTAGTTGCATTGCAACACACGTGCTATTGCAAGTAAAATAAATGTTAATTTAACTAATATTGTAATAAATAATAAATATAAGACAGCCATAATTAGAATTAACAAAATAAATTTCTAAACATTTTTCAAGCTTTTTTGCATTTTTTGAATTTTTGAAACATTTTATTACAAAAAGGCGTTAAAATACTCAAAGTTAATTAGCGTTACCAAAGTAAAACTAAGTTTTGACGTTTTAAATTAAGCTATTGTAAGCTTTTATACCATTAACAGACTGCTCGCTCGAAATAAGACAAAAAATCTCGACACTGGCAAAACTTTTTCAAAATTTTATAATGTGGTTCGAATATCACGATTGTAAGGGCGTTAATATAATATAACACTCAACCCAGTCCGATCATTATTTGTGGTACCTGATTTTGCGTGGTAAGAAAAACTAAAACACACCCGAATATAAAGTTCCTCTTCATTTTCAATGGTTGGAAGAATCATAATCTCGCAACTAAGTCTACTTTTCTGGAACCTGAAGATTCGAATAACCCACACGAAAATAATGTAGTTTTTAGAACTTGAATATCTGAGACACACTTATGAGCAATACTTGAGACATACTTAGAGCCAAGCAAAAAAAAACTTTTTAACGGTTAAACAGCATTTACTCGATTTTCCTTCATGCAACGAGAAAAAATTCAACTTATAAGATTAAAAAACCTAGCTCATGTTCACAACATAAAAACAAATTTCAGAAATACCTTCGCTTCCACCTCCCCCTCCACCGCTATTACCGCCTCCTCCACCACCGCCGCCGCCGCTTCCTCCTCCTTCGCTGCCACCACCACCACCACCGCCACCGCCACCGCCACCGCCGCCTCTTCCTCCTCTGCCTAAGATAACTAATCTTGAACTCAAGCTTAGTGATGTATTCAATGCAGCAGTAAGCTGTTTCCGCTGAGATCATGGGATCAAATATTCGAGACCTTGCCGTTGCAGTGATAGTATGCGAATGCTAAAATTATGTCTACTTCAAGGCCGGCCACAACCTGATCCTCCTCAGCTTTATAAATGGCAACACATGAAACTTATTTTTCCTTATGTAAATACAAAATAAGCACTTGGTATGCTACAAAATAGCTAATTTTATCTAATTATATATTCAGATAAACCAGAGGGTGAAAAATGCAAAACAACTAATCTCAAACCATTTAAAAAGTCACTTAAAATTTGCTTAAGCCAAAATAGAAATTCTTTGAAAAAAACACGCTTTCGAAAGTCAGCTAACAAAAAATAAGTGGAAATGTAATTAACCCGCCAATTCTAACCCCCCACGAAAAAAATCAATTTCCAAACATCGAAGCTAAACAAGGTGCGGAAGGCGCTCGAACCCTAGTATATATCTTCCGAAGGCACGTGATTCTAATTTAGACTAAGTAAGAAGAGGCATCAAAAATCTTGACGTCGTAAAATAAAGCAAGGCGAGTTTCTTACAGATTTGTACTAAAATTTGTTTACGGGAAAAGTGTAGTTCCGTTACAAGTACATTGCGCTGGCAAGTGAAACACAGAGGCGAAGCTTCGCAAACACTAGCAAAAACACGACAGAAACAGCAATTTGAAGTGCAATATATGTAGAAATAAGCCTCAAATTAGTTTTAAGAAAATTCGGCTCCGTATTGGATTCGACCTGCGACCTAGAAATTATGAGTCTCACCGCCAACCACTCAGCCACTGAGGCTGAACAAATCGCAAACACTAGTCACCAATAAAGAAGAGAGCAGATGCTATAAAATTTCCAATGCTACAGATCGTGATTATAGCAACAGTACCACCCATTAAGTGAACACTTTCCACCTTCAATGAACACTTTTTTTTGCGAGTACGTTAGAGAAAAAGAAGGTTCCTACTAATACACTACGCTGCTTGTTAGTGTAAACACGAGATGAAAAAACGCATTTTCTTACCAAACTTTTGCGTTTTGTTTGTATGCAATGATTAGACTATCGTTAATACGTTTTTGGTTTGGGATTATCGTATGGAACAACTTCATCTGCTTAGAGCTGCTAGTAAACAGAAAGTTACATAAAAGCAAGCTATTGGTGATCTGCGTTTTTTATTTTGATCACCCTCCTACGGATAGGAGGAAAATTTGACTTCAGTTGTGTTCGTTTCTACACAATTCTTTTCAGCCGGGACTCTGATAACAAAAAATCAACAACATTTTCTGATTCTTTCCGTGTTTTAGACTGTTTTTGGGACATTGATGATAATGTTTTAATTAATTCAGCGATCATATCTAATGTCTCCAAATTTTCGGTACAATATATTGGTTACTTTTGTAATCATTTTGGAGCTTAAATTGAAGTGCCTCATGTAACGCAAAAAATAAACAGACTAAAAATTTTGGAAAAAAGTAAGTTCCAAAAAACTTAAACATTTTCTCGCTCAAATTAGTGTGGTATGTTTTTTATGGGCTGCTCGCACAGCAACCGATATCTTTTCCTTTATTTTTTGCCCAAAAACAGTTAAAGCCTTTAAGACACCATACCCTCGTGTATTAACAGTAGCCTTACAGAAAGTCAACTAAAAAAAGTTCAATGAATTGGTGAATGTACATTATTCTGAACATAAAATGATATTTAAAAGGTAGAGCTGATAATCAAGGGTGCTTAAAAAGGAATCACCCCTACTAAGGGGAAGTTTAAATTACAAGTCAAGCACAAATATTGAACTTTACAGCAAGCCCTCTTTTTTCTTAGAAAAGAATAAATTGCTTTACAAATTCTTTGAAAGTGATTTTTACCTTTCTCATTGGGGCACAATCCACATGACTTGGGACACTGCAGTCTCACAATGGGGGAGGTGGTACACCTGAAGAAGCCCCCGATGGAGATGGTGATGAGGGCACAGTAGGGGGCACTATCTGTGCACTCTACGCCCCCAAATGCCGATAAGGAATCCACGGATGCTAGAACCGAAATGGATTGAGATCAACGCCAAAAACATGTTCTGATTTAATGAGCTCCAGTATAACAATCACAGCATATGAGTAATTTTAGCGCAGAGAAAAGTAGAGCAGAAGTACTCAAACAAGCAACCTTGAAAATATAAGTTTCATTGAAACGTGTTTCGGTCATATAGATTTTTTTTTCAATTTGAAAATCTTAAGCTGTGATTGCTTGATAGTGCAAGTCTTCATGTGCATTTTTATCCATCCATAATGCAGGCATTGTTTACAAAAACTAGAAAATAAAATGAAAGTTTAATATTTCTTTAAATAAAAACGGTATTTTTTAGTTCATTATCAATAGTAAATTGTTAAGAGCTTACAAGCACTAAGCACAACTAGCGCTGGAAGTGAGAACAACTCAGGGTATCCCACTTCGTCCTGCAGTGCCTGGGATGTGCTGCAGGTGTCCTTGCATTTGTATTGAAAGTAGGGATCCACCAGACACGATATGGCACTCTGAGGAGACTGGCACATGAAGGGATCCTTGCCGACGACAGTTCCACCACTTGCTAAAAAGCATATTTCAAAACATTTGACCGACGGTAGCCATAAAATATCAATAAATTTTCAAAGACCTTTCTTAAAACATACTCTCTTTTTATACGCATACGGGGTATGATTCGGTAATTTAGCTACCATATTAGTTCGACTTCTGATTGGTTTCTCTTCTTTGTCGTGTATCGTCGTAATTCGAATCAGAATTTGACCGAAACGAAAACTTTAAAAGTATACGTAATGATCCATTGGGAAACTATACATACGTACTACTGTGATATATATGTTAATTGTACATCTACTTTTCAAATTGTACCCCAAACAACTAACATCATAATGCATATATGCCCAGATGATGTAATACCGAAAAATATATTCAAGAAGAAGATTGCCAATAATTGGTAGTTTCCTCGGAATATCTATATTCAAAAAATATTTACCTGGCCATAAGAAGAAGAATAGCGATGAAAGAGGTAAGAGAAAATCCCAAACACTATACATCCCAAATACCAATAAATCGAAGATCGGACTTTTCAAAAACTAGTTTTCAAAAATTTAAAACACCATCGCAAGATTTGAACTCTTATCTCTCGTAAATAATCTTTTGCTTTGATACTGATCTGACCACAGAGAACATCTCACAACTGATAAAATGGGAGTAATTTGATGATTCACAATCAATCAAAACACGCCAGAAAGTTACGCCAGATCTGATGTCTTGGGTACGATTATGTTTGCTCATTAAGAATTTGACAGAATCAACTTCCTCTACAATGTTTGCACTTTTTTGTACAGGTTTAGTAAATTGACCGGCTTGAGGCGTCTTCTATTGCAAATCAACCCGGCGCAATTTTATTTGAAACCACGTCTAGAACGGGAAAATGCCATGACTGAATAGACTAAGAGTCTGAAGTTATTTTGAAATTTTGGTATTGATCCTGAAAAATTCATCACCTGCACACGATATTTTTTTGCTTAGAGCTTCAATCACTCAATTTGTTTCAGTCTTTCGATAAAAAAGAGCATCTTTGTATATGAAAAGGTTCTTCAATAAAATTTTGTTTTTCCAACTAGAAACCATTTCATTACGAGGCCAAACTGTGCACTGGATAGGCGCACAATTTTGGGTCTGTATGTTCCTGGATTCCAGAGACAAGTCTCTAGACATGTTAAAATTTTGTCGGAACTAAACTATCAAAGAAAATGAAAGAACAAAAGAAGAACAAAGAGAGCGTCCTTGTTGTGGAATCCACTCACAATTCACAAAATGCAGTTTGGCCTCGTAATGTTAAAAAAAATATGTTTATTTAGTCTGAAAGATACTGATGCCCAAAGCTCATAATTTTTAACTGCAAGTTAAAACTGCAATTACTCAAATCACTCAATTTATTTCAGTCTTTCGATAAAAATGAGAATCTTTGTATATGGAGTGGTTCTTGAATAATAACTTTGTCTTTCCAAGTAGAAACGTTTTGAAAGTTTGAAATGTTTATTTAGTCTGAAAATAATTTTTTTGATGACGAATGAAATGGGCAATTTAAAAAGCACGAGAATTGCGCTTCATCCATAACTTTAGTTGTTTCTGTAAATAAGAACATGGAGGAAGGATTTGCTTTGAGAGTTTGGTTTTTTCCTACAGACAATTTCTTTGATAGAAAAATTGTACGTCACAGCTTATACAAGGGAGATCATCTCAACCCTTTCTTTTGTATTAAACTCAAAAAATCAGATTTGGGAATGCAGTTTGCAAGACAAGTATAAAAATTGTAAAAAACGGTCAAAAAAACCTCATAATTTGTTTATTTTTCGAGGGCGTAATTTTTTTACTATAAAAATTGTGCGTAGCAACATATGCAAAGGAGCTTTCACAATCCTTTCTAACTATTGAAAATAAAATCTCAGATTTGGCGGAGGGTTGTTTTTGAGAAAAGTCAAAACTTTCAGAACAACGATCAAAAAGTCAAAATGCGACTTTTCCGAGGGTTATAACTTTCCTCGTTATACAATTTGAACTTAGCCGCTGAGGCAAGGTAGAAAAATTTGAGCAAGGTAGAATAAAAAAATCGAGTTTTCCGAGGGCATTAAATTTTGTGTAAAAAATTTTGGCCGTAACCGCTTATGCAGGGGAACTCCCACAACCCGTTCTACCTATTGGTACCAAAATCTCAGATTTGGGATGGTGGTTTTTGAGAAAATTCGAAGTTTCAAAAAACGGTCAAAAACTTGAAAACTCGATTTTTCCGAGGGTCATCACTTTTTGTGCAGAAAATGTTGGGCGTAAATGCTAGTAAAAGGGAGCCTCTCCTAACCAGTTCTACCAATTGAAACCAAAATCTCAAATTTGGGATGGTAACTTTCGAGAAAAAGTCAAAAAGTTTCAAAAGGGTCAAAAATAGGAAAACTTGTCTGTTCCGAGGGACATAACTTTTTGTGTAACAAATTTTGGGCGTAACTGCTTAAGCAGGGGAGCTTTCCACAACCCGTTCTATCAATAAGAACCACAATCTCAGATTTGAGAGGGTAGTTTTCGAAAAAGTCAAAGAGTTATCAAAGGGTCATAAATTTTTGTGTGTAAAAAACTGGGCCTAACAGCTTACGCAAGCGATCACCCCACAACCCGTTCTACCCATTGAAATCAAAACTCAGATTTGGAAGGGAGCTTTTGAGAAAAGTCAAAAAATTTCAAACAATGGTCAAAAATTGAAAAAATGATTTTCCGAGGGTCATTAACTTGTGCAAAAACTAAGGGCGTAACCGCTTATGCAGAGGAGCTTCCCACAACTGTTTCTACCCATTAAAATTATAATCTCAGATTAGGGAGGGTGGTTTTCGAGAAAAATCAATAAGTTCAAAACGGTCAAAAAAATTGAAAACTTGACTTTTCTGAGAGCAACAAATTTGTGTAAAGAAATTTGGGCTCAGCCGATTCTGCAGTGGAGCTTCCTACAAAACGTTCTATACGTTGAAACCAGAGTCTCAGATTTGGGAGGGTAGTTATCGAGAAAATGTATAAAATTCAAAAATATGGGTCATATCCCCCCAAAAATGGAGTGTGGCACTTTACAAAATCATGTCGTTTTGCATTGAACGTCACTATTGACTAACGTTTTGCGCTACTTTACAATGTTCAGACCATGTTATAAAGCTCTAAAAACGTTTTTTTTTATTTTTTTTTTTTGAAATTGAAGTCGTTGATTGTACGCGGTGTGATGGGAAAAACATACAAACGTGTAGAAAATTAACGGAATAGGAATGATCGGAATCATTTGTTCAAAAAATTAATGTCAGCAAAATATGGTCAAAAAGTTCTGAACAAGAATTTTGAACTACTTTTGGGGAACTGTTTTGCCCAGATAGCGCTAAATTAGCTTAATTTTGCCCAAGAAGCGCTACAAAGCTTTCGTTTGAGTGTATTCAAGTTTTCTCAGCATAAACTTATCAGATAACGAACATAGCCAACTGACAGTTGGAAAAGAGTAACGAACGCAAGGAACAGAAAGAAATGGACTTTTTTTCAGAAACAGTTCATCTTGCGAATTTTAAATAGAAAGTATTTGCCCTAAAGTCTATTATTATAGTTATATTTCAGAAATTGTTAATATTTGAATATCCTTTTTATACCCAATTATTAAAAGTTTAGCAACATCACACCGCGTACAAACAACAACTTCAATTTCAAAATTAAAAGAAAAACTTTTTAGAGCTTTTTAACATGTTCTGAACATTGTAACCTAGTGCTATACATTAATCAAAGCTGACTTTCAATGCTAATGGACATGATTTTCTAAAATATAACATTCCATTTTTTCACCTTTTAAATTCCGCCTCTTTTTTTTCTTTCGCTTGAAATGATACGCTCCGCTTTTTGTCTGCCTTGAAAAAACCTGCTTGATTAAAAATTATAGAAAAATCAGATACACGTCTAATTTTCCTTCATAGTGACCAGTTTGAAATTCTCAAAATGCTTAATATTTGTGATCTCTTTTCAACGCAACCTCTGAATTTTAGAAAAAATCAATGTTCTCTGAAACCATGCATCCAAATGCTTGTTCTTTTTTCGGGATTTGGATTTTAATAAAGAACTATGGAATTCTTACTGTCACAACATATTGTTTTACAAAACCGCATGCATGTTATACTATTTTTTTTCTAGTCATAATGACGATCAATTGGCAGCCAATTGATCGAGTCATTTTTTGCAACGAGATTTTGATTTTAATGACAACAATTAACTCCTGAAAAAGGGTGATACCTTGAGAATGAAACAAAATATTCTACCTGCAAGCAGTGTGCAAAATGGGAGCTTTGAATAGTCTCAAAAGGCCTACTTTGGTATAAACATTGCGCCCTATATTATCAGTTTTCTATTAACTTAGCGCAGGCGGACAATTCGTTTCACTTGTTTATCCAATCAAAAACAATTGAACTAACAACACTAAAAGGTCTCAAAAACTATGACTCTGTACTTGATATTACATTCTCAGTATTTTTGAAAAAATATTATATTGATTAACACTAAAAATTTTAACCAAAACCTATTTCAGATACTTTGGCGGGGACTGTTGGAGCTTCAAAACTTCGTTCTGAAGCGAGCAATCTCTTTACTGATTGGACAATTGATTTTTGCGAGCAATCAATTCAATATCAAATCTACGTGCCAAGAAAATTAAAAAAGGTAGCTTAGGAAAAAACTTTTAGGCTGCTTCCCTGATTATAAAAACGGGGACATTCAGGAAAGCTGCACTTAGCAAGCAAAATTAACAAATAGCAACAAATCGCATCTCTTGAATTACAAAAAAAAATATTTAAGAAAACCGCCTTAAAAAATTTTCTGTATGCTAAGATATTAAAAACGAAGCTCTTAGCAAACCTTCACAGCCTTCTGTGCTCAGCCAATGCTTTCTAATTTATGCTTTTTTAAAATCTTAGTAATAAGCAAAGCCAGGATGCAAATAAAAACCACAAGAGTAGAACTTAGTGAGCCCTGTCTCACTGAATAGAAAAAGAATTTTGAAAGATTTACTCTCTTGACGCTATTCAATTTTCGTTTTAAAAAGTTCCAATTTCGTTCTACTCTGACGCTATAAAAAGTCTAATAAAACCAAGATTGGCTGTTACTATTTGAAAAACTTTACTATTTTTGTTAGAAATTTTTTAAAAAACTAAATTTTAAATACGAGTAACAGTCGTTGGAAATGCGTCAGGTATCTTTAAAAAAAAATGGTTATCAAAGTATAACGCATCCTTTTAAATTTCAAAAATTTTTTTGATTGAAGCTGATTTTATTCCACTTTTACGCTTCATTTTCTGATTTGTTAGTTGAGAACCTATTTTTTTCAACCTTTTAGTGAATGAGTTTGAGATGTACATAAGACCACTCAAGTGTATCGTTTTTGGAAAGGTAATGTATCATTCATACTAGAGACCCAGCTGCAGCTGGAAGTAATTGTTTATTTTTGAATTTGTTTTTTTGATGAGAAACAAAATTGGTAATTTAAAAAACACGAGAACTGCGCTTCACCCAAAACCTTGGTTGTTTCTGTAATCAAAACATGGAGGAAGGATTTGTTTTTAGAATTTGGCTTTTTCCTACAAACAACTTTAGTACAAAAATTGTATGTGACAGCTAATACAAGTGGGATTATCTCAAC